CCCCCGAGTGGAGCCAACGTTAGGAAAGACAGCCGGAGCCAACGTTAGGAAAAAAAACACCTCCGCCGGTGCTTTTGGCTGGCACCAGGAAGGTTCAAACCAAAAATGACCACATCTGGCCCAAACCCATTTTTCTGGGCCCAGATGGCTTTTAATGTAAACCTTTCCAAAACAACCCAAAAAAGACCACGTATTGCCCAAACCCTTAAATCCGGCCCTGCCGCAGTGGTCCAAGGTGGAGCCCGTGCCTAGAGCTGTAGCTCCACAGGGGGTGGCGCTGATGCCGCCGACCCCCTCTGCCCGTGCATCATCGGACCTCCGTTTCTCCCGGTCCCGAACCCCATCCCAAAACCACTCCAAAATTCACATGCGCTTCAACAGCGAATCCCCACGGCACGGAAGGATTCTTGAAGGATTTCGGGGGTCTCCCAGAACCTCCAAAATCTGCATCATGAGCACGGGCCGTTTTGAAAACTAGCCCCAAGGCCCGACTTGGAGGCTTCAAGGCCCGACTTGGAGGCTTCAAGACCACTCCAAAACCCTGATTTTGTTGAGGTGGCCAAAAGTGAGAAACGAAGGCCCAATTGTGCTGATGATGCTGGCCAAAAAAACGCGCCCAAAACCTTCCGTAGCGTTGGGGGAAGCTTCAAAAACGCAGCCAAAAATCATAGTAGTTTGTGACCCCCTCCAGGGCGTCACCCCGTATAAGCATAGCTTAGCTAGGCGTGCATCCGCATTGGACCATGACGGCCAGGCCGGATTTCGGGCAACGCAGGCAGCATGAAGAGGGAGCCGTGCAGCGGTCAGTGATTCAGTGCTCAACCTATTTTCTTGGGTTCCCTCCCAAAACACCCAGGAGCCCTCCCGGTGCCAGCCAAAAGCCATCATAAAAATACAAGAAAAAATGGCTGCAGCCTGATACCTCCAAATTGGTGAAATTATCAGCACTATTGGGAACCTATTTTTACCTAATTAGGATCAAAGCCAAGAAAAGGCATCAAAACACGAAGGCGGCAGGGCGCCTAAAATCGGGCAACGCCCTGGGGTTGCTGCCGCAGGCCATGGCCCTGGCTTTAGCCATGGAGCGGAGGCCCAATGCCGCTGACCCTGCGTCATTGGACCTCCGTTTCTCCAAGGGGTCCTTCTGCACCCCGCCCCCAAACCAAGTTCAAATTTACATGCGTTCCGAAAGCAAATCCCCACGGCACGGAAGGATTTTTGAGCACGGACGTTTTTGAAAACTAGCCCGGGGCCTATCTGGGCCGGGCACGCATTTTTGCAGGTCGGAGGCGGAAGAGCTCAGATTGGAGAAACGAGCCGCCGATGATGCTGAGGATGCTGGCCCCCTCGGCCAGCATCATCAGCATCATTGGGGCTCCATCAATTGGGACCTGATTTTGGGCCGTTTTCATTTAAACTAGAGACAACAGGACCTTCTAGACCTAAAAAACAGCCCAGGCAGGGTTTTTCTGTGCATTTCTGTCAAACAGGAGCATCAGCATGGGCTTGGCTTTCACACGATGGCTGGGTGGGCAGGGGGGGGAGGCTGCGAAAACCCTAGTCCTGCAACCCATCACCCCACCCATCAATATCCCCATGGCAAACCCCCCATACAATTTGGTTCCAACATGCCTAGAAGCCTGGCAAGAGAAGAAACGGAACCTATGCCGATGATGGTGGCCAGGGGGGCCAGCATCATCAGCATCATCAGCATCATTGGGGGTCTGTTTCTCCCTTTTTGGCCAGGGCACTCAAAAAGCCCTTCAAAAATCCCGCCGTGCGGTCCGGATTCGCTTGTGAATTTTGGAGTGGTCTTGGAATGGGGTTCGGGAGGAGCCCCGGGAGAAACGGGCTTGGGGGGTCGGCGGTGGTGGCGCCACCGTGTATAGAGCTAAAGCTCTAGACACGGGCTCTGCCCTGAGGCAAAGTCGTGCTCGCCCGTCGTTCCCAAAGAGCCTGAATGCTGCAAATGTGCTCAAGCGCATGTTTAGAGACGTCATGCGGGCTTGTCCTTGCCAGGAGCGGCGTGTGTTCCTTGACATGTTTGCAAGTTGTGGAAGCCTGGATTGCCTTTCATAGCCAGCACCTCCACTGCTAGGTTCGTTTGAACCTCTGAGATGCTTGAGGTTCTCAGGGATGAATCTAGTGCTTCTGTCAGAGGCTCGTTGGCCTCCTTGTACCACGTGGAGCCGGGCTCGACACGGTCCTATTGGGTCTAGTTGGGGTCCTCTTCGTGCTTTTGCCAGGGCCAAAGTTTGAGACGGGAACTCTACCATGCGCTGCACATGTGCCATCATTGACCTTGCGTTCAAACAAGCCCTGCCGGGTCAATGCTCTGGCAAGTTCCCTGGTTACTTCAGTTGTGCAACCACAAATCAGCACGTAAGTATGTTGCTGATTTCTGTCAATTGAGCTCTCGCGTGGAGGGAATGGTCAGGACCGCCCAAAACAAAGAAATACATTTCAGAACAAACAAACGCCTAGACATTTTTTTCACCCATGGTTGACCCCTGCCCTGGGCACGGAAGGAAACACGCGACGGTCTTGCTGGCTCTAACTGTGTTCGATTAGCAATGCGCGTGTTTGATCTCAGAGGAGATGGGGTAACGGGGTGAAGACTCGTGGGATCTCCAGATCTAGAGCAGAGGAAATCCAGACAGTGCCGTGCAGTGTTGTTATTGCGCTAAATCCTCTTCACCAACTATTGCATTGAGCTTGCTTCCTTTGAGACGTGTATTGATCCCAATAAAACTGTCTTGGCCGTTCTGCAAACCATGTAGCTCCAGTTGACAAAGCCCAGATGCAAATCCCGAAAGTCAGAATCAGGACTGGCTTTATGAGCTTCAGATTTCACCAGCAAGAAATGGTTTGGGGCTGGCTGTTCAACACCAAGATTATGCAGGCTTCCACTCGGACCTCAATGAGACTTTCTTCATAGGCGCGAAGAAGAGCGTGTCGTCAAACTGGAAAAGCGACATTTCATATTGTGCCCCTGCAACCTTCTGAGAACACTTCATCATAGCAGGTGCTTGCGATGATGACTCCCATCGCCTCGTCAGGAGTTGAGCTCATTTCCTGAAAATTACTCCAGCAGCTGGTCGGCCCACCCGAAGCAGGACAGCCTACAGCGCCCTCTACGCTGCAGCGCAGATGATCCGCCCTAAACCCAGCTCTTCTTCGGAACACTAGATGTGAGGATGCCAGAAGCTGATCGCGCAGGTCCTGGGACCTTCTACCGAGATCTAGGCCTCAGAGTAGTGGAAGAGGAGTGAAGTTACAAGCCATCCTCGACAGTCTGCACAATCTGCCAACCCTCAACGATCTTTTGGAAGAGTTGTGGCCTGAGATACAATTTATGCAGGCGGCGCCATCCAGTCAGAGGCGCGAAGAAGAAGATGAAGCAGTGTTGGATGCAAGGTTCAAGACATCTCCCTAGCCTGACAAGTGCTTGACCTTTGAGAGAAGAAGCGTCAAAACTCAATATGGGGGTTTCCCAAAATTAGGGGTACCCTTTTTGGGGGTCCCTATAATAAGGACCATACTATTTGGGGTCTATGTTGGGTCCCCTTATTTTTGGGAAACTATCATATGATTGCGCTTGCCTGTGCCTTGCTACTACTGCCCCATGAATTAAACTTGATCAAGTGCTGGTTTGCTCATCCCCCATTTGCTTGGTTTGGACTACATGGCACTTTGCAACTTTCTACGCAGGCCTCGGGAGCAAGACTAGCATACTCCTGACTCCTGACTGTCCATCTTTGCCCGCTGCGGCAGTTTAGCTTATGTGCATCAAACCTCGTACCCTGTTGCAGATACTGAATCCCTAAACCCTAATCAATAAACCTTATTCTGTTGTACAGCAAATCCCTGCGTGTCTTTTTGATTCCACAGCGCCCTTCACTGCTCGTCTCCAAGCGGCAGATTCTTGTTTGTCGCGTGAAGCTTTCATACTGGTTCTGAAGTGATGCTTCACATGGGGTTTCCTAAGGGGTCCCTAGAATAAGGACTATAGTATTTTGTGGTTCTGAAGTGATGCTTCACATCATGGAGTCAGCAAGCATCAAGGGATGAAGGAGTGGAGTCTGTATAGAGATGGGTGATGTGTCCAAGTTGAGCAAGACGATGAACGTTTGCAGTGCGTGTAAGGTTGCGGTGAGTAAGTGCTGAGTGCAAGCAGCTTGAAGGCTGCTCCGTCACAGCTCCCTTTTGGTTTTCTGCCTCTTCAAAATACGCGAAACTCCAAGAGGCCTCAAAGAATGCCTGCGCTGTCGTCACAACGTGAGGAGCTTAGAAGGCTAAAAATGCACAATCTAAAAGACTGCACCATGATGTCCTTTCATTGCTGTTCCAAGGTATTGTGGCCATGGCGTCGGCAAGTTGTTTCACGGCCCGCCCAAGGTGCCACACTACAGGCCACAGATGGCCATGGCGAAGCTGTGGTATGCCGTGGTGAGATGCAGTGAGATGCGGGCAGGAAGAACAAAGCGGTTGGCATCATGAAGCCCGGCCATGCAGCAGCCTCAACGCGTTGACGGCTTTGATCTCGCTGAAGCTGAATGATCTGCGAGGTCTTCACCGTTGAGCCTATGATCAATTTAGGAGGCAACGGTGGTGACAGGCCGAAAGAGGGAGCTCTGCTTTGCACCTGCATCGTATTCGCGACAAGACTTCTTTAAATGCCAAGCCCCTTTGCAGCACGATGTCCAATTCTGATGTTGGCATTTCAATGCCAGCGCCCCATGGGTCAGAGGGTGACTGGATATTCTGAATTTGCTTAACGGAGAAGATTTTCCCCACAACCCCTCGTTTCAATCTTGCAAAGCTCAGCTTGAGCACAGACGGAGCAAAAAGCATGCGACGGTTTGAAGAGATGCCTAGTTTGAGGAGCTCTCTCAGGGCTTCGGAAGCCACATGAGTCTCTGAATTCAGATTGCCATTCTTGGCAAGACGAAAAGTGCCAAATACATTCAACTACAGATTTGGCGCGCCATTCTGACAAGATTACGTACATGAGTTATGAGGAGTTCTTCAGAAAGAGACCACCACGACGCTGTGCAGGACGTGGCCCGACAACTGGACAGCTGTCACCCGGGACGGCAAGAGGTGCCATACGTGTACGTGTGGGAGGATAAGAAAAAGAAATTTGAAGAAATATGTGTTTTGTGTGTGGGGCCTCCGAAATTCCAAGGAAATAAGAGTCTTGCTGATGATTTTCAGGTTTTGGAGGGGGACCATCCCATGAGTGCAGTTGATGGTCCAACGAAGAGGGCTGCACTTATGGCTGATATGGGAGCTGATCACTCCCACGTACCTGCAGAAGAATGTCGTGATAAAGTTTTCATCTCTTTTTACGCTGTATAGTTCCGGATTGTTGCTGCTCCCAACTATTTTGGAGATGATACAAGTGAGCATGCAAGTGAATGCGCAAGGGTTGCAATGAGCCTGGAGCTTCCTCAGAGCAGAAATTTTCTTGTTAAGGTTTATTCCAAGATTTTTTTTCGGATGATATTCTTTCTGCAACTCCTTTTGCAACTTGGTCCTTGTTCATACATGATGCAAAAGCCCAAATACGTCATCTAAGTTCATAACAGGCCAA